CGTACTCAGGGCAAAGCTCTTCGGATTCCGTGATATACGCGGAGGCGCCGCCGGAAGTGGCGGAGTCGCTCATGGGACTCACGGAGCAATCGGTGGCGGGTACGGACCGAGAGGCCAATACCACGGATACGGATACGAGTAAAACTGCGCTAGTTCGTCGGCGGATAGCGGCTGCGGCTGCTCAGAGGGCTGTTGCCGAGTAAGTGACATTTTTCTCTGCAGATAATTTGCATGAAGGACCAGTGTTCATAGGTTTTTTGATGTTGTGTTTTTTCCGGAGTTGGACGCCTTTTCCATCTCAGATATATTGAGATGTTGAAAGCAGTTTTCCTGCGAAATTTAACGGAAAAGAACATGAATCTGTATGGTATGATTACGGTAATATTCCTATTCCGAACTCGTATTCACGCTTCCGGTCGGATGTAAAGGACACACCTGCTAATAATTTTAGAAGCACGTCTGGATATCTGATTGAAAACAGTAAATGTTTTCTCGTGGCGATTTTATAACCTTTAATTATGTCGAAATCTTTTGAGCTTTGATATCATCCTCCATGATAATGGAGAATGGATGAAAACCGACCGATAAATGATCCAACTCTCCGCAGCAAGAAAGCGTAACACGCTTTGGTTTAAAATGATGCGTTCAATGAATCGATTTTCGATGTTTTCATTATTCGAGGTACAGTACAGTATTATATGTTTTAATGAAGAGTCATCGTTGCAATAATTGTATCGCGGTATGTATGATTCGAGTTCATTATTAATCATTCCTCTGATGTGCTAGTGCTGGAGTCCCGTGACTTGCTTGTGTTTCGTTCGAAACAGCTACTGTATTTATCGGTTACAGGAATTCATCTAAATCAGTATTTCCCATACTTTATGTGCCCGCGGTCCAGCAAATTCCCATAAACAATTTTTTCCGGACCGGTAAATTCCGAAAAATTTTCTGCAGACAAGTAAAGTTTCTTAAAATTTTTGCAGATACAAGAAGGCTTTGCTTGAAAGACATTATGACAGGTATTTGAAAGCTTAATTTTTGCGAAAATGAAGTTGAGCACAAATGAAGCAGCTATAGCTGAAAAAATGGCTGTCTTGAAGTTCCTGATTTCATCAGGTGATTTGTCAGAAGTATTTGTTACTAGGAGAAAATTCAATTTTTGTTTTTCATCAAATAATTTTAACCGCCACTGATTTCTATAGAGATTTTAGAGAAAATAACATACAGTACTTCAACTTCATTCCTATGTCTGATATATTAATTAAGCTTAAAATTTCCCGCGGACCACGGGTTGGGGAACACTGATCTAAATATAGTTGCTTTCTCAAGTTATTCATTATTTTGATTGATCAACTTTTAGGCTTTTGTGCATGCTCGAAATATTTAAGCATAAGGTTCCTAATTGTTATTGCAGATGAATTATATCACTCTGCAACGTCGAAAACTGCTGTTGGGCTGATTAGCAAATGATGAAAAGGATTCACCATACTCCTAATGCCTCATTTTTCAGCAGAACCGTTTCCACTTCGCTGTAGTTCTCCTTCGGAATAATTATTCCAAATAATGCTTGTGTCTTTATTCACCGCAATACGCTAATTTTCACCAAAACCGTTTCCCCTTATTTTGACAGGAACGATGAACCCCGGCCCGTGTTTGTGCCGAAGCACAAGCGGACGCACACTCCAAAGAAATCTGCGGTTGAAGCAAACAAGTCCACCGACCAAACAATTGATATTCGGGATGCTGAAGAATCGTATCAAGCTTTCGGCAGTCCTGCTGAAATCGTCCCGAACCGCAAAGGAATCAATGTAGATTGAATGTTGTGAACTTTTTACGACGAACTCGGAATATTTATAGAAATTCGGTTAAATTTTTTACATTGCCAGCTGAAAATAAACACTGGTGTCTATGCCCTTGATGATTGCTTCATTCATCATTCCGACTTGTGCCTTCCTGAGTTCTGTCCATGTGCTGCATTACCTGAGAAAACTAGCTCGAATGCAAATGATGCACTGTACATTACTGTATTTCCAAGCAGTTGCGAATTTCTGCATCACTCTGCAACGTCGAAAACTGCTGTTGGGCTGATTAGCAAATGATGAAAAGGATTCACCATACTCCTAATGCCTCATTTTTCAGCAGAACCGTTTCCACTTCGCTGTAGTTCTCCTTCGGAATAACTATTCCAAATAATGCTTGTGTCTTTATTCACCGCAATACGCTAATTTTCACCAAAACCGTTTCCCCTTATTTTGACAGGAACGATGAACCCCGGCCCGTGTTTGTGCCGAAGCATAAGCGGACGCACACTCCGAAGAAATCTGCGGTCGAAGCAAACAAGTCCACCGACCAAACAATTGATATTCGGGATGCTGAAGAATCGTATCAAGCTTTTGGCAGTCCTGCTGAAATCGTCCCGAACCGCAAAGGAATCAATGTAGATTGAATGTTGTGAACTTTTTACGACGAACTCGAAATATTTATAGAAATTCGGTTAAATTTTTTACATTGCCACCTGAAAATAAACACTGGTGTCTATGCCCTTGATGATTGTTTCATTCATCATTCCGACTTGTGCCTTCCTGAGTTCTGTCCATGTGCTGCATTACCTGAGAAAACTAGCTCGAATGCAAATGATGCACTGTACATTACTGTATTTCCAAGCAGTTGCGAATTTCTGCAGGTATATGGCTGACTTTCTCGGGTTTAGTAGACTGAAAATCAAACTATTGCTCATCCTTTCGGACGAACTAAAACGTGCATTTTTCGAGAATCCTCTTTGTAACCTGATGTAGATCAAACGATTTCGTATGTGTACTTGTACAAGGGCTCTAACAAAAGTTTTTGGATTAGAAATGAAAATGGTGTATAATTGAGCAGGAAAAAATTATTCCTTAGGGAAAACATATTCTTCGGCACAAGAAAAATCAACCCTGTTAGACAGTTTTTTTTTTCGAAAAGTCACCCTGGCAGAGTTTTGCTCTCCACTCAACAGATGAGGAGCGCACTTTCTACAGTTTTTTGTTGTTTTAGCCCAGCTTTCCTCTCAGAATACAGTACTTGAAATCAATGCATTAATTTAAAGGGTTGCCTCCAGGTCTTCCAAAGTATTTCCGCCATTTTCGTCAACAACTGCCTTCACAGCCGCCAATGTGTTTGCTGCCAGGGTGAATTTTGCAAAACATTCAAAAAAAGTTGTCAAACAGGGCTGATTTGTTTGTGTGCCAAAGAATATGTTTTCTCTAAAGAATACTGTACTTTTTTTCCAGCTCAAGTATACGCCATTTTCATTTCTCATCCAAAAACGTTTGTTAGAACTCTTGCATATATATATTAGCTAGTTTATTACCCTGTTGATGTACCAGAGATAGTTTGCTGTAAATTCACTGTGTCATCGCATGTGTAGGATACAACCGAATGCGTAAAGGACGCCTCCCTTTTACAATGTTTGAATTGAAAAACAGAGGCGTCTGATGATATTTGATTGAATGCGGTTATGCCCTGTTCAAGAGATATTTGACATCTTGAAGATGCTGTTGAACGAGGAGGCTTACAATAAATATAGATCATATTTGATTTCAACTCCTGCTACTCATGTGAATCCCAGTGAGACCCCAAGATGCGGACGTAATTGGTGTATCAAGAGTATCCTGATGTTGGAATGTCCGAAAGTCAAGTCTCATTTTCCCGTGGACTTCATCGTTAATGTACTTAAATTGTTCTCTTTTTTGTCAAAAATTAGAAATATGTCCTAGAACAAACTTATAAAAATTGTTTCCCTCAACTTCAAGTTGTAGAAAACAGCAGTGCGGAACAAAATCACATAAAAAATCAAAGCAAAAGTACAAGTCTTGCTAGAATATGCAAAGATGATAGAAACAAAAATTTGGAAAAAGAAGCACAAAATCAGCTTGCTTTTGATTACGAATTAGAATGAATTTATCATGAACTATTTTTTTCAATTCTTGTGAATATAAATAGCTTGATTTGTTCAAAAGATATCAAAATTAAAAAATAAAATACTTTGATTTCTTGGGAAAATTTCAGAAAAGTGTCCCAAACTCAAGCCAATGTCCAGATGTTGAGCCTGATTTTTTTCGATTTTGAAGCATCCCTAAGTTGAATTGTCCATATGTCGGGGTGTCCGCATGCAGTATTGGGGTCTAACTGTACAGTACATCGTGTCATGTCGAAAAACGTTTCAGCAATCCGCGCATCAGACTACAAGTCACGAAGTTTTCTAACGTGAAATGGTTGGAATATTGAATGTACTCGCATAATGTACTTCGCTAACGATTGATAATAACGTTCGTCTTATTCACTCGCAAACCTTCTTGGATTCATTTTCGGTGGTACTCTTCGTTATACACACGAGTTGAATTCAAAGATTTTTCATTAGGTGTCAACTTTGGCTATATTTCCACGCACATGAAAATCAAACGGTTTGAATACTTTCTGCATGATGAGCAAACATTCCCAACAATTTTCATCTGTAATACGAACCAATGTATTTACAGTGTCAAGCTCTTCCAGCCGACACAAATACGAACACGCATCAAAAAATTTCGGGGTGCCACATTTTACAAATCTAGGAAAGATCGTACTTATATTTAAAAGGAATTCAATAAAATTCTACATTCGAAAATTCTTTTTTTCCCGCACATCAAGTCCCCCAAACTCGATGAGCATTTTTAAAAGTTTTTCTTTCCAAACATTCACATATTGAAATTCAGTAATCATGCCACAAAAAAAAAACGTTCGCGAATCACATTCATTCCGAGCCAGGGAATGGAAACACGTCGGGAATGGGGTGAAATATGTGTGAGCAAAAAAAATTGTTACTTCCCGAACCGATGCAGAAAAAGGATCTCCTTTTCGACGAGACGTCTTCGCTGACACGCATCATCAGCAGCACTCACAAGACAAGTAAGAAGTCAATTTCAATTCGTGAAGGCATTCGAATTGCTGAACAGCAACGATGTCCCGCCGATGCCAAAGAAAAACCTCGGTGTTTGCCATGAACTGACCACCCACCGAGGCAGTTTGAGAAAGACTCCAATTTCCGAGCAGTGCGAAGTGAGCGATTCATGAATCTTGAGCGTCATCTATGGTTCTTACCAACAATCAGTCTTTATCTTCTTTCGGCTAGATGTCACTGCAAAAAACGTTTTGAGCATTCAAATAAAGGCTTCGCGTGTTTCGAGTGTTCAACAAATTATACACACTTCATTTCTCACAAAACTCTGCAGTTGCAACCAATGGAGTTACGACATAATTTACAATATGGTAAAGGTGTATATAAACAGTATACTGTAATACTGCAGATACTCTGCTGAGTTTTTCTGCTTAAAAAAAACTATGTAACAGCTTGTGTTCACCCCGGAACTCGATTTTTAGGCACGAATAAGAACCACTGAAGTACTTTAGGACATTCTTGCCAATTTTTGTCGGTGATCCAGAGCACTAAAAGGCTTTTGAGGTTCGGAAATGTAATGAGAAATTTACCTTGAAGATCTGTGATGACTTCCAATCCATGTTTTTTTTATCGTTCACTCTCTGGATACTTCGAAAAGAGAGGAATTCCTCAGGAATTTTTAACAGCAAATCGGCATTACTGGAGACACACGTTGCCGAAGTTTCGCATATCGACACCGTCTCTTATATACGTCCACACAAGTCACACCATCCCTGAAANATCGTTCACTCTCTGGATACTTCGAAAAGAGAGGAATTCCTCAGGAATTTTTAACAGCAAATCGGCATTACTGGAGACACACGTTGCCGAAGTTTCGCATATCGACACCGTCTCTTATATACGTCCACACAAGTCACACCATCCCTGAAAAAATAAATCATGAAAATTCAGTGGGGAAAAATGGGGGTGGTGGAATAATGTGGTAATTTAAAAACCAGATTATTCTTGTCAAGCCTCTAATGGAATTAACTCGTGGAAAAAAATCTTCCCTCTAAGCACAACTGGTCCAACATTGTACTGCTTTAAAATCCGAAACGCTGTCAAAAAAATTAACATTTGAACATAGGATAAATCTCGTAAATTGATAATGGAAAACTTTCGGTTGTTAAAAACTAAAACATCCGTCGTCTGCCAGAACTAGAATATTGTCCTTGCAAGAAAAATTGAATTATCTCGTCAATCTCCTCAATGAAGTTGTTCCCTGCTTCCATACAATACTTGATTTATGAATTAGACTCATGGTCCTGGGACACGAATTTTAGCGTGTCGACACAACTCACCGCTCTGTAACTTGCCGCACTCATAACTTGCCGTACCCCTTATGACTTGCCGCTGTCATACCTTGCCGCACAACTGACTCGCCGCTGTCATCTCTTGCCGCACAGACAACCTGCCGCTGCAACAACTTGCCGGAGTAACTGCGGCAAGTAAATCACAAAAAAATGAAATTTCAAATGAAATGAAAAAATCCACTTTCATTTCATTTTTTCACATTTAATTGTGGCAACTTGTATGAGCGGCAGGTTATTTCTGCGGTGAGTTGGGCTTGCGGCGGGTTGTCACAGCGGCAAGAGATGACAGCGGCGAGTCAGTTGTGTGGCAAGTTTGGGTGCGGCAAGCACAGCTGCGGCAAGTACAGGTGCGGTGAGTTGTACCGGAGCCGAATTTTAGGAGAAATATTTCATTTTTAGGAATTAAGATAAATAAATAGTTTAATAAATAGCTGGGATTAATAGTTAACAATTTAAGTTTTAATCGTTCCTGACAAATGTTTGGCACCCTGTAATTAACTCACATTTTATTTTTTTAAACCCTGCGCCAAGTTCCTTCTTGTAGGAAGGAGGACAAGATAATTCCATATTGAAAGTATGAAGAAAGTCCAGTTTTGCCAGACAATGTTGTTACAATTTGGGGGGGGGGGGGAAATTGTGTGACAATTTTATTCCAGTTTATCAGAAAAATGAAATCTCTAAAGGCGAGGTTATTCTTGACAATGATATTCCGTGGGGAGTTCAAATCTTGACAACATTGTTCCAGTGTGACAACGTTGGGCCTGACAACGTTATTATTCCAGCCACCTGAAAAAATGTACCGTCACCATCTGCAGAGTAAACTCACTGTTGAAGCAGTCGGAAAATTAGTTGGATCTGGAAAGTTTGAAGGTGCCGTTCGGGTCGTCATTGGGAACGACCCGAGGCCCGTGAGACAACTTTCAAGTGACCCAGAGGTTCCCGATGATGACCTTTGTTTTTGGGACTGCGTCCGGGGACGTCGGGAAAGTCCTCACCCGTCCAAAAACGCCGGTCATTCTATGAAGGCCAGTTAATCTGAAAATAATTTTAAAAATTCCTATTTCGCATAACTCTTAGCGACAAATCGAATGTTCCCATTTCTGCAATTTTTTCCTCTGCTCCACAGATGTTTCCTGAATATTCATTGCTAAAAATTGCATGATAATTATGGTTGTATCACTCGTTAGGTAAGATCAAATATTAAGATAGGTTCCGTGTGGTTCGATTATGCTTTGTCATATGTTGTGTTGAGTTGTAAAGCATTTGTTTACCTGATTCATTGTGTCAGGTCCATTTTATTCAAGTCGAATCGGCTAATTTTCTTCACATTGAAGTCTCTTATCTTAAAAGGTACAAGACTCAGGCTAAATTTGCGAGATCTTAATTAGTAATAAATTCAGGGTTAAAACGAATAAGTAAAACAGCAATATTTGAAGTCTCGAAAAATGTCAGAATGATTGTCACCAACTTTTTCAAGGTTCTCAGGCTCTATATTGAAGCGAGATTGTTCAAGATGATGTTCATCAAAACGTCCTCACTATTTATAAATGCATGAAACCCTGTTTGTTATGGATTGTGTAATGAGAAAGAAAAATACTGATAAATAATTGAAACTCCAGTATACAGCATTGAATTTACTTTTGAAACCAAGATTAATTTCACTGGCGTCCAAAACTCTTCTGTTAAGGTACCCAAGTGATTCGAAAATATAAAGCTAAAAAGAATCGAGAATTTTCAAGAGTATGCATACATCATATACTTAGAAATGGATTTGAAATTCCGAGACGAAAAGTTATGAAAATTAATCAATAAATTAGCTTACGTCAAACAAAATTTGTACTGTACTTCGCTTGAATATGTTGAAAAATTTGGATGCATCATCTTCCCTGCCTCGTAAAATAAATTGCGTAAGCTAAATACTTTCTCCAAAATTTTGAATCTCCTCACCCACAAACGCGTTTCATTCACCTTCGTGTGATTTCGGTCCTCTTCATTTTTTTTTCCGCTGCCGTATCTGAGCTTCAAGTCTTCTGTCTTCCGATTGTCTCAAATAATCACTCATAAAAAAAAAATCAGTGTCAGCAACAGAACTGCAAATTTCTTTGCTGACGTTTTCCTTGGCATTCGTTGTGGAATTGTTTCCTCAGGGCCGTGGCTAAAGGTGTCACACGCAGCGGGTCCCCATCCCACTGCCGGACACACAGTTTTGCTGGTCACGACTCTTGACAAAACAATTCCAAAGTCGTCTTCATCTTCATCCACTTTCGTCAGCCATGATTCCGTAAAAATAACTAGAAGTCTGGTTTCGTCCTTGGCCGGAATTGTCGAAAGAATGGTATGATTTCATTCCCTGATCTGTGAGTGATGCCATGAGTCGAGGTCATCTTCGGAACGGATATCCAGCTTTCTTCAAGAGAGTTTTTGAATATTTGAACAAAATTGCGCAAATTCTTCAGATGTAAAAATCCTCAAGCTTCACTGTCGGTTCATCAGGAAACGGCTCCAAGTAAAACGCGTGATAATCTTTTGCTTTCTTTTGTGTTGTAATTGAAATTGAAAGCAATGTCACAGCGCGGTATAAAGAAAAAAAAGTCTTGTTTATAGGGAAGAGAAAATAAATTGGGTGGGAAGGGGGCACAACCTGCATTCAAAAAGAGATTCAGCTTTTCTAAATTGTGAAATTCAATCAAATTCATGATAAACAAAACAAAAAACAATAACATGTATACATCCTTCGCAATTTTTAAAATCCAGATCTTTAGAAAATCAGTGTTTTATTATTTTCAAAATAATTCTTTTTTATTTTTGAACAATCACCCTTTAGAAAAATATTTTTGAAAACCTTACAGATGGCCATTCATTTTAAATTTCAACAGACCAGCAAGCACATTTGACTTCAAGAGGTTTTTATTTACAGTCAAACCTCTCTATAAGTCAAACTTGAAGGGGCCAGCAAAAAAATTTGACTCAGGGAGGTTTCAAGTTAGGGAGGTTTTGAATTAACTACAATAAAAAACCCCTTTTGTCCTGGGAAACATAGAAAAATTGCTCAAAATTGTAAATCGTAATATTTGAAGGCTGAAATTCCTTCTTAAATGAGTTGAAAGCATCATGAACTTGGAGGGAGAGTTCATTTGCCCAATTAAGTCTCTCGCCTCCTTTAAAAACAAATCAATTCATGTTTTCATTGCTTTTTTCTTGCTTGTGTCAAGAAAATAAAAGCTGACAGGCCACAGAAAATTTGACTTATGGAGGTTTGAGGGGGAAAGCTTTTGACTTAGCAAGGTTTTAAACATACCAATTCTAAAGGAATTCAGACAGGACCTGAAAAAAATTCGACTTAGGGGGTATTTGACTTAGGGAGGTTTGAGTTATCAAGGTTTGCCTGCATATAGATTTTTGATTTATGTGATCAGGGATTTTTATTGTGGGAAACAGTGTGATGAATTGCACTAAATTGTACATGGCTTTAAATCTGGGCCTTAAATTGCTTCTAAAATGAGTTGACAGGGTGCTGAACTTGGAGACAGGAGTTCATTGCCCAATTTAGACTGTAACTTCCTTTCAAAGCACATCAAATTCCATTTTACCATTTTTTCGTTCCTGATTCAATAAAATAGTAGCCAAAGGACCACAACAATATAATTTAAGGAGGTTTTTGAGGAAAAGCCTTTGAGTTGGGGAGGGTTTTAATGCATTCTTTCTTAGGGAACTCAGATGGGGATTTACAACAATTCAACTTGGAGCAAAATTTGACTTAGGGAGGTTTGACTTAGTGAGGTTCAAGTATACAGTAAATTATTAAATTATCTTATGGCAGCCAATTGGCAATATTTTATATTAGTGTTTGCTCATAATGTGCAAATAATTAAAGATATACTGCACCAACAAAAAACTGGCTGCCAGTCTTTTGAAAAAAAAAATTATTCTACAAAATCACTATTTTAAGTGAGTGAACATTTCATCATAGTATAAAAATGTCGAAAAAAATTTAGTCGCCTTTCTGGAAACATTTTGAGTCCTTCAAATTAAGGTTTTCGTTGAAAAATCTCAAACAGGTTTAAATTCAAATGACATTGCTGGCATGAATCGTCATAGTGTTTTCAGATTATAGAAGAACGTGATGACAATATGCTGAATACGGTATACACATAAACATCGACTCAAAAAAGCTTCCAAGGATTATATAGATTTTTCTTCAATATGCAGTGTACTGTATAGTTCTTTACCTCGTTCCTTGATACAGTTTTCTGATTTTGCATGTATTTCCGGATTATCTCAATTTTCATCGATGGAAGAGGGACGTACATCATCAGTATACATGAACATTATTTCGGAAATTTCTAGTACGTGATTTTTAGTTCGTTTGCGTCGTTCCAAATTCTCTTTTCAGACATAAAATTACTCCATCTTGAGATAAATGCGTGAGAGGGTTACGACCAATTTTTACAGAAATATTTACATGGCTATATAATCTCCATCTGTCAGTAGGATTCAATGTCCCCGTGCCTGACGAGAATGTTGCAAAAAGCCAGCTCATCGGAGCATCACATCCCGGAATTTCAACTCTCCAGCTCGTGCGCAAAAATGTTTCACGGCGGCGGAATAAGACGAAAAAGCATTCACTTCAACTCCGGGATTTATTTAAACTGTACCGGCGCCAAATTCATCGGGGATTCACTATACGGAGCAGGGAAATCGTTTTGGCACACGGGATGACACCCCCCGTGGTGTTGACGAAAAGGTTTAAGGCCGAAAAACATTCGAAGCCAACAAATAAAAAAAGGGGGGTTCGAAAAGCAAAAAAAACTCTGGATCTTCACACCTGCTGTTCTCTCTTCTTCTCCCCCTATAGCTTCTCCATTCAGAAACTCTCGGAACACAATCTCGGCAGATTTGTACACAAACGCACACACACACACACACACACACACACGTGTAAAAACTAGCAGCACCTCGAGGGGGGAGACACTTGCCAAAAATCGCCAGGTGATCCAGCCTCATCACGCCAAAACGCCTGCTGATGAGCCCCGTTTGCCCAGCATCGGTACAGTACCGAGCACCCAACAGATTTTGGCAGACTCTCGCGGAAGAACCCGAACCCTGCGCCGCAGTAAAGGTCTTCCACAGAAATGGATATTATTGAACCCAAAGAAGAAAAAAAAATAGCTCCGAAGGAAAGAGAGAAAGAAAGAAAGACGCAACGGAACTGACGATAGAGCAAAAGATGAAATAAAAGTCACACCAAAAAAAAAAAAAAAACGAGAAGAGGGAAAAATCTGCAATTTTTTTTGTCGGGCTGAGGAGTTATTTGTGCTGTGAAAAAAAGAGGACTGTGGACCAGGAGACGGTGGGTATATAAACATCGACCCCCGCTAAATGTTGAGAAGAACACGGGTCTTTCTCTCTTTTCGCTCTCACGCACTCATTCTCTCATCTTCTTCGTATACGCTCCCGCGTGCTGTGCAGTTATTTTTAGTCAACTTTTGCTTCACTACTGCTTGCCACTCCTCGCTGAGGGGAAGGTTTCGTTTTTTTCCCATATCATTTTTTTAAATATTATATTTCGTATGTTGCTTCGCAGGAAAGCTATCTTTGGACGGAACGCTGTTCAATTCGCCCACCGAGGCGACGTTGATTACTCCACGCTTTCTCCCGCTTTCTGTTCTATATGCGTCATTATACTCACCCAGCTGTTTTGAATAACGGTTGCATTTGAGTGCGACGGTGATGTAATTATGTTCATTAGACTGCAACGCAATATGATATGATATGATCACTCCAGCATCTTGTAGAAATATTAAAAACTAACCCTCTTGAAAATCATCACAAAATACAGTAATTATGTGGTACCGGGTCAGTCGCCAGCCGTTCAATTCACGGTTGCGCACCCGCCAGCCGGCAACCGCCGGTCCCTCCAACCGCCAGCCGGGGCAGTAGTTGGTCTGTGGAATCCCCAGCCCACCAAACCACGGTCCGGTCACCAGATTGTCGGGGCACCCAAAGGCCCCTTACAATCCCTGGTCAGTTGAATCTTGGCTCTAAAATCATGATCTCCCAGCACATAGGAGATCAAATAATGTTCATCATGTACTTTCCCAAAAAAAAAACAAGAACAATTTTTAAAAAAAATTTCGTGAAATCTTGGGTGCTGGGCGCAGAATTATTTGCGGGGAAAAGGTTATCTCCGGAAAATGTAAACAGCGGCTTCTGACCGGAGGCATCGTGGCGCAAACTGTTCAGAATAAAATATGCACCACTAAAATTTTTTGGCTAAAAATTTGAAAAAGTTGAAAATTTTTAGAGCTGAAAAATTGAAGAAAAAAATAACTTGTACGCATTTCTTTGATTTTCTTTCTAACATTGCATGAAAACAATTTTGGGACAATATTTTCGCTAAGAAATTTAAAATCTGAAAAATTGAAGACCACATTGTACCCAAGTGAATCTAGCAAATTATATTTAATTCAGAGGCGTGTTTTTCACAAATGACATCATTCTAAAAAGAAAATATCACCTGTATATAAGATGACATATAAATAAATAAGTTGTGCATGAACAAGTCCTGCCAACAAATAGTATGTGTCAATGACTGGTGGTTTTCACTGATGACTGAAGAAAGATATAATTTTGAAATTTTTGAAACTATAGGCCATTGCCAATTTTACTTTTAATCTTGAACCTGGAAATTGATAATAAAGGGATTGTAAGGGGCCTCTGGGTGCCCCGACAATCTGGTGACCGGACCGTGGTTTGGTGGGCTGGGGATTCCGCAGACCAACTACTGCCCCGGCTGGCGGTTGGAGGGACCGGCGGTTGCCGGCTGGCGGATGCGCGACCGTGAATTGAACGGCTGGCGGCTGACC